GTCCCACCCCCACCCCCCCCCAACACCCCTTCCCTTCCAAAGATTTACCTGCAGGGCGCTGCTCTCCATGCTGCCCAGCTGTGCTCCTGGCTGCGTGCATGCTGCAGCTGCATGTGTGCATGTGGTGTCTAGAGGCCCCAGCCAGAAGGCATAATTTATTTATTGATATGTTATTGGCTACAACAGCCAAAAAAAGCTGAAAGCTTATAACATTAATTTTCCTTTTATCAGTGTCGATCCGAAATGGCACTGATAGATAAGTGCACAGCCTGGTTCAGTCCCCCTGGTGCTGCCCCCAGCCCACAGCAGCAGCCTGCCTTTGCCCTGCACACAGATCTGGGGGGCATAAACACCCTACGACCTCCTGGGGTGCGCATAGCGGCAGGAGCAGCACCCTATTTCCCCTCCCGTGCCGCCAAGGCAAGCTGCTTGCAGCTCTGTCCCTGCCCCGCCCTTCCCTGGCCGTGCAGTGCCTGCCCCAGCCCCCCTCCCTCCCTCCTTTACTGTGGGGACCTCGATCTGCCCACCCCCACTCTTCCCATGCCCCTTCCCTCCCCTCCCCCACAACAGACTTACCAGCCAGATGCTGTTTTCCACGCTGATGAGCTGTACTCCTGCCCACCTGCATGCTGTGCGCGTGCATGGGGCATTTATTGGCAACATTATTGGCCACATCAGCCAAACAAAGCTGATTGCCAGTAATGTCAATTTGCCTTGTATCGGTGCCAATATGATATGGGACTGATGTATTGGTGCACCTCTAGTTTTCTTTAATATTTACTAATCTATACAGGAGCCTCTGGGAACCCCATAAAATTGGGCCCCTAATAAAGTCCATGGTCTGTTGTGACCTATTTATAAAACTTTTCTAAAAAGGTTACTTGAATATATTATCTCAAATAGTATATAATTAGAAGTTATAATCTGTATTCTATGATGATATCTTTGAGCTTTAACACATCTTACATTAAAACTATCTTTATATGGGCTTATTATTTTAAAAAGCATCTTAAAATTAAAAAAAGCTTAAATTTAAAAACTTGTTGATTTTTAATCCAGCCTGCGTAGTGGGTTCCATCAGTTCATCTAGTTTTTTCTCTGTAGCCCTACCTAGGGAGGTGACAATAATGAGTGCACTCTGTTTTCATGCAGCTGTGTGTTTGGAGGCATCTGTGCATGAGGAGAGGTTTGTTCTATGGCCTCAGAGCTGGGTGCCACGGAGGATGGCAGCTGCACAGAGCTGGCAAAGCCCCTCTATCTGCAATATCTGGAAAAAGCTCTACGACTGGATCAGTTTCTCCGACAGACATCTGCCATCTTCAACAGAAGCATATCCAGGTATCAAAATCTTTCCTATTTTAGATATAGGACACCTGGAAAATAAAGATTATATAATATTGTTTCTGAGTAACCCCACAGTAAAGGGTTAATTATCCAGTATGAGCTCTGCATTTTAAAGCGTTTTATATTGCAGTCTTTTCATCTTATATTGATTGGTAACTTGACACATTATAGTAGCCTAGAAAAATAGGAAGGAACTCAGGGAGTCATCTAGTCCAACCCCCAGCTCAAGGTAGGAGCATACCCATCTAAACCAGCCCAGATAAATATTTGTCTAACTTGCTCTGAAACTGCCTGCAAAAAAGGTTCCACAGCTTTTCTAAGTACCCTTTCCAGTGCATTGTTAGTCCAGATGCAAATTATCAAAGCCTTTCAAAACTTTTTCTATAGTTCAGTGGTTGATTCTGTTTGTTAGTTTTGTGAAAATTTGGCGGAATTTATTAAATATTAAGTTGAGTTTATGAGAAGTTAGCCTTTAACTATCTGTAGCATCACTGTACTGTGGCCAGATAAAGAATTATGTGGTAGGAAACAAATACAAGTATTAAGATACAAATCTGCAAGTATGAAGTTCCTTCCAGAAATGATGGATTTTCAAGTTTTTGACTGTTCTAGAATAGGGGTCACAGCACTGAAGCTAGGGTGAGCCATGACACATACACATTAAGACCTGGAGAAGAAATGTGCTCCAGACTTGGCAAAGGGTGAGGCCGATCCCTGCTTACCCTTCCCCCAATTTCCCAACACAGCATAGCTGCTGGGAGATGAGATCAGAAAAACTGTGCTCAGGCTTAGACTTCTCAAGGAAAAGTTCAGTGTATGATAAGCTAAATGAACACTCCACAAACTGATTCAGCTGGTGACTCAGAGTGATAGTGGAGTGAACTTTCACTTTTACCTTTGAGAGGATGGCAAACTTGGGACTATTACTGTACCTTAACCCTACCTAACCAAATTTGCCACTTTGTCCCGTGATATATTTGGAGGTATGTTGTGTATGATGTGATTATTGTCTTGTTTTATTGCTTCATTGGGTTTGTGGCTGAGAAACAATAGTGTTTACTGAGGCCCATAAATTCCCAGTAGAGCACTGGATGTGTTTTTCCTATATAGGACAGCAAGTGTATTGCAGAGGCGTTTGCAATGCTTGCCTTAATTGCAATTTCTATATAGAGTATCATATGTAAGTTATGAGAACTGATCTTCAGAGTTTTTAATTGTGTAGTGGCCATCCGTCAAGCCTGATTTTTCTACAACTTTCCTTTCCAAAATTATTCAAGCTAAATTGCATTACACCCTTCTTCCTATTTTCTTAAGATACTTCCATCTTTCAATCTGTGTTGCATTTCTTTTTTTATTGGATCATTTGTTAAGCTCTTTTAATAAGCTGATAATGCTGTCAAAATACAAAACAATTGCCAAATTCATGGAAAAAAAACTTAGCAATGGCTAAATAATTATTGCATACATATAGAAACCTTTGCAGTCCCTAATTCCCAATCCCCTGTATAAGTGTATAAATCCCTGGTATAAGAAAATTGGATATTGCAGTTGCAAATTGTCCCTGATTCTGTGTCTGTCTTTCTTGCTGTGATCATGTTTTATTACTCTTATTGCAGTGATGAAAGTGAGGATGGACTGGATGACAGTCCTTTACTGCCTCAGTCTGGGGGTCCCCTGATGCAAGTTAAGGAGGAACCCCCAAACTCGTTGCTTGGGGAATCTTCTGAAGCAGGGAATTCGGGGATGTTAAATGCACATTCCCTCAATGGGATATTGCAGCCAGGTAAGTTGTTCATCAGACAGAATTCCTGTTTGCTTGAGGTCCAGTGTGGTACCGTAGTATCCTTGATTGGGTTTGTGGAGTGCATTTTTATTATAAAATAATGACTGCTTTTTAAAACAAACGTTCTTTCTTCTTTCTCAGAGCCAAAGTCAGAAAAGGGGAGTCTGTATAACTTTTCCAAACTGAAGAAAAGCAGAAAGTGGCTGAAGGTAAGATTATTGAAAGGGAAGGGGAGCTGTGATCAAAAACTGCTGTAGCATACCCACTAGTAGGTCCCACCCAGAGTTGGGAAATCAAAGGAATTCTGTGATTTTACTCCCTGTTACACTTATGGAGTTCTGAATGCTTTTTAAAGAAACTTGAAGTTGTTAATAACCATTGATTAAAGTATGTTTCACCCAAATACTAGATTGTACCTACTAAATTGAAGTTGCATGTGGTTCACTCACGTTTTGCCCTCTGTATCTCTTAAGAGTCCACTTCATTTGACCTCATCTTTTCAAAACTTAAAATGTAATGAAAAGCTGTTGAAAGTATAGTTGCCTTAACGTTCCTGAGCATTGGGGCTTCCTGTCACTGCACCGGTGATACAGTGAAGACCTCAAGTATGTAGATTCAACCTCATGGGGAAGCCCTTAACCCAAGGAAATCTTTCCTTAGTGTTGAGACGTGTAGCAATTCTGTACCACCTTTCTTGGGTGTTAGAACAGGGCGTCTGGCTATGAAAATAGTGTGTGGCCAGGACTCCATTATGCTTCAACAGCCCCTGGTGCAAGAATAGCTTTGGGGAGCCATTAGCAGCTGTTTGAAGGCTTGTGTAATTTACGTCAGGGACCCAACTGGCACAGTATCAGCTCCATGGTAGGAGGAGTATAAAAATAGTTCAAAGCCATTTTTGTAACCCCTGCTTTTTAGGTGTACTGTGTGCTTGTTGGACCAGCCAAACTAGAACTATTTTTTCCAAGAGAGAACTTATGAAGATGTGATATTATCTTAATTGGTATATTCACCCCTCTTCATGGGCTAGATCAGGATGTGGCAGTGGGGTGAATGTCAGCAATGGTGGCTGTGGGGCTCAACAAAGCCATCTCCTCCCCTCCTTACCAACACATGTCACCCAACAGTCCTCCCTTTGTAAGATTTTGGTGGTGGGGCCTCTCCCTGCTTACTGTGCCCCCAAGTTCCGAGACCTTCAGAAGGTCCCACAGGCCAGGCAACACAGCTCTGCAGGCCATGCATTTGACATCCCCGGTATAGAACATGTATTTGGAAAGTGTACATATGTGTACAGTAATGTGTGAACATTTTGTATTTCTCTGAAAAGAGGAAGATACTTTGAATTCTTATTTGCTCTTATAGTGTCTTGGTCTCCTGGCCCCTGTCAGTCTTCTGCTTTGTATTAAATTGACTACTTATTAAAAAATTTTGAATACCCTGTTATTGAGAGGGAAGAAGAGCTTTAATTTGCACCAAAAAAAATCCCTCCAAAGCTCTAACAAAGCTGAACATTACACTGCACACAGTTCTTGTTCTGGGCAGAGGAAGAAAGAGAGACTGCACGTGACACATACTAGCCACATTGCACTACTGAAAGGTGTTCAGATATTGTCATGTGTGCAATAGAAGAACCTATGTAAAACAGAACTGTGGTCATCTTGGCCCTGGGATTTAGTTTCCTTTCTTTTCTAAAATAGTGATTAAACTGATGAGGCTGAAGGACTAAGAATGTTTTAGTTTAATGATGATTGTGCATTCAAAAATGTGAAGCAGGTTTGATACAGCATCCACACTACAGTAACTTGTAGTCATAACAAAGAAATGGACATTTGGAGACCATCTCAACATTGTGCCTATGGAAAGAAAAACACAGAATGATGGCTTTATGTCATTTTTACAACTTTATTCTGGAGCCAGCTCCACTGAAAATGAAGTTGTTTTAGGAGCCACCTTTATCTAGGCTTCAGACCACGAGTTCATCAAATTTGATGTTTTGCATCTGATACAGATATAAGTAAAGGCAACAGTGTTGAAACTGCTTTGGATGTTATATTCCATTTCATAGAAGAGAATAAAAACTACTTTCCTGCATGGAAATCCATTTTCAGTGGGTTCAGATAGGAAGCATTACCTAAGAACAAAGTATTGTTGTTGAGCCAATCCTGCATCTATTCTGCCTGAGTAAAGAAGTCAGCAAGTAGGGTCCATAAGTAGTTAAATTAGAGATCGTTACACTCTTGTCAGAGCATTCTCCTGAGTGATGACTCCAGCGACACGGATTCACCCAGCGATGAGGATGGAGAGGAAGAGGAATTTTCTCTTTCCAGGGAGGAGCTTCACAATATGCTTCGATTGCACAAATATAAGAAACTGCATCAAAGTAAATACAGCAAGGACAAAGAGGTAACTATCCCAGTGGCGAACCCCAATTTTGACTTGATTCTTTTTCCCCCCCTTTTTTTTTTAATAGGGTGCAATATTTGGATATTAATATGGTAGAATATTTATTCTTCAGCCTATTTGCAAAATTTGTTAAACTTTTGCAGGCTCGGAAAAGATCCTATTCAGCAATCCAAGACAACCTAATATATGGTCCAAACAAGTATAACTTAAATTAGGTCCAGATGAGTGGGCAAGGTGCTGGCCTGCTTTTTATGTTCCCTTATAGTAAGAATCCCCCAGTATTACATAAAAAGGTGTACTAGTAGCAGTACATTTCCCTTCCCCAGCCCATATCCTTCTCACTAGAGTGAGCTTACTGTTATAAAGATGAGAATTCATTCAATACAAGCAGTGGCCCCTTGCATCTAGTCTCTACAGGCTGCAGTTCCACTGTTATCAGTGGAGTAGCTGTAATTGTTTTGTAGAATCACATATAATCCAGTGACTTTACTTTGGGCAACTTGTCTTAACCAATATCAGTGCTAGAAATAGAGGAATACGTATTTTCCAAACTTTAGGGACAAGATTTTTATTTCTTTTGCAGTTTTATTTATTTTCATTATTTTTCCTGTTTCCTTCTATTTCAGTTGCAGCAATACCAATACTACAGCGCAGGGCTGCTGTCCACACATGATCCATACTACGAGCAACAGCGTCATCTCCTTGGGCCCAAGAAAAAGAAATTTAAAGAAGAGAAAAAATTAAAAGGTGAGGAATATACACTGCATTGCTAGCTAGTTTGTGTCTAAATTTGTTCCATACTGTATATCCGTGTAGCATGTTGGGGTCCCAGGGGTGGTTGTAATGCCTCCCTGGTGTCTCTGCAACCGTGCCCCGTTTTGCCCCTAGGGCACCTTTTCTTCTTTCCTGCCACGCCTGGATGTAACAATAATAATAATGGAGAAGCTACCCACAGGCCTTTGTGTGGCCCCCGTCCATCTGGACTCCCACTGGCCTTTACTGCTCCCAGGCCCTTTGCTGGACCTCTCTGGTCTCAGGCCCCCTGCTGGACCTTGCTGGTTGACCATGCCCTGCAGGGCACCTAAAGCCTTAAAAGCTAATTGCATGGTTCAATCCTTCCCTATACCACGCCCCAAGCCTCATGGATGTTACCGTAACATTGTCCGCTGGTTGGGGCCTTTGACCTCCTCAACCTCCACCTCTTTACTCTTGTTAGACCTTCTAGTCCTGGCCCACTGTATTGCACCTGGGTTTGAGGCACTAGCTCTGGTTTGGCCCTTTTGGGCACCTTGCCCCTGGCCCCTATGTGGCTCTGTGGCCTCAGTCTCTGCCCACTCCTGGCTCATTAGTCACTTGAGTCTTGAGCCTGCCCCTGGCTATATCATAACATAAAGCGGAAACAGTCCCCTGCCCCTTTAAGAAGGAAAACTTTCCCTCACCTAGCCTAGCCTCCCAGCCCTGGGCTATATCCTAGTGAGCTACCCTAGCCTCACCAGAGATCCGGATGCAAAACTTGGATCCAGATGTGGCACTGCAAGTCCCTTCAGGAACCCAGCTGCCTGGGAGCTCTTCACCCTGTGGCTGTCAGGGAGAGACTAGCCTGCTAGCCCACACCTCTGGCTTATATCCTTCCAGGGCCCTGCCCCCTTCCCATCAGCAGACTGCCTGGGTTGCCTGTAGGTGTCTGCTAATTGGCCCAATTGTCCTGTTATCCTAGCAGCCTGCAACTGCTGTGTCCTGCCTGGCCTGCTTTTGCCTTAAAGTAAAAGAAGGCCTCAAGCTCTCTGTTACAATCCACCTAACAAACATTATTCTTCAGCACTTTTTAATAGTAGTACAATAGGTAAAACCCCTTTTTATAAAAGAACATAAGATGCATATTATGGCTTACTTAGCTCCCAGGGAGAATTGGTATGAAAAACGTGATTGGAAAGTAAGAGTTTCTGGCTCCAACTTGTATGTTCAGACCTCCGTATTACACCTATCTACCTCATTCTATAGCAGTTGATTACTCTTTTAGTTGCTTCTTGACTCAGTAATGATTTTGAATCCATAGCTGTCATTGCATTCAGTTTTCTTGTAAATATAGTACATCTTTGAAAAGCTTAAGATGTTGCCAAGAACTTGGCATAGTCCTCCCTATGTGTGTAATTCTTCTGAGCAAGAAATTATGGGGAGTGGGACTGTAGTCTGAAAGCTAAGGGAAGTTTATAGGAAATTGCTATCTGTGAATTAAAATAGAACTATTTCTCTCACCTCTCAGCTGGAGTGTCTCAGATGCTTGCTTGCCAGGAAATACAAGTTTCCTTTTTTGAGTGAGCTGACAAACAGCTGAAAATCTGGGAGGAAACAGGAAAAGAAGTTTGTAGACTATCTGCAAAGCAGATTCTGACTAATGCAACTACTGGAAGTCTGAGATGTGTTGGAGGTTATTTTGGGCATCCTTCCTTCTCTGTTCTTCTGCACATTCTTCCAACTACGTGTGTTTTTCCCCCCAGGACCTTGTAACATACTTGGCTTTGCAGAATCTCAGAAGTGTATTTATTAATAATCTGATCCTAATTTTCTCTTAGTTTGTCTGAACAGCTAGTAACTGTATTGAATTTAAGATCTTTTTCAAATGACACTGCTTGATTTGAGACTTTTGCTACAGAATGCTGATCTTGTTCTTTTCAATATCTGTAAACAGATCTTCATTCAAGTGTAGGAAGTATTGCACTAGATCCCAAATATTTTAATTTAGCAGGTTCATTTATCTGTGGAGAGGATCTAATTGGTGCTGCTGAGCAGTAAGGGGGGTTTCTTTGGGGGTCACATGATGAAAATAGGGCCACTTATAAAGAATATGTAGTCGCAAATATGGTGGACATAGATCCAGTCCTTATGTTTGGTCCCATTTGTTTGAAGTGGCTAGTATGGCAGGGTTAGGCAGAATACATGAACTGACATGGAGGATCACAAATGCTAGGAAAAGAACCTCATCTTGTCACCTTTTTTGCCATGCAGCCAAATTGAAAAAGGTTAAGAAAAAGAGGAGACGGGAAGAAGAACTCTCCTCAGAGGAATCACCACGACGCCACCATCACCAGACCAAAGTTTTTGCCAAGTTTTCGCATGATGCACCTCCACCAGGGTCCAAGAAAAAACACTTGACTATTGAACAGCTCAGTGCTCGCCGGCGGAAAGTCTGGCTTAGCATTGTTAAAAAGGAACTGCCAAAGGTGAGTTTGGCCAGTTGAATTGACTTGGAGGATGCTAGAGTCGAGATAAAATAGAGGATTGTGTTATCAAGAAGTCAGCATGATAGAATTAGTAGACCCAGCCCTCTTTCCTGCCTATGCAGGGGGTCGGACTCGATGATCTATTGAGGTCACTTCCGACCCTAACATCTATGAATCTATGAATTAATTGACCAGATACCTCTCTGTTATTCCATAATCCATCAGGTGGGATTGGTAAACTTGCAGCTTTTCCTTTTGCTTTTTTTTAATATATTAAAAGCTTATTAGATTTTAGTTTATTTTTAAGTGAAAGGAATATAACTGCACTGAAAGAAGGGAAAAGCTGACTCTGGGAAAAGAAAGGGAGGAATAGCAGAAGTGCAAAAACAGAGGAGAAATCTAGGAGTTGTTTCAAAGACAAAGGACATAAGTGAGGCTTTTCTCTGAATTGCCATTGTTCAGCAGTAAAATAAAATGAAGCATCATTTCAAATAACAATTTTGCCTTCACAATGAAGAAAATTATTTATCATAGAATCATAGAAAATGAGGGTTGGAAGGGACCTCAGGAGGTCATCTAGTCCACCCCCTGCTCCAAGCAGGACCATCCCCAACTGTATTATCCCAGTATTGTCAAGCCTGATCTTAAAAACCTCCAAGGATGGAAATTGCTCTCAGGGTAGACTGTCCCAGTACTTTACCACCCTCCTACTGAGAATTTTTCCTAATATCTTACCTTAACTTCCTTTGCTTTAGTTTGAGCCCATTGCCCCTTGTCCTGTCATCTGGCACCACTGAGAATAGTCTAGCTCCTCCATCCTCTTTGGAGAACCACCTTTCTCAGGTAGTTGAAGGTTGCTGTTAAATCCCCCACCTTGGTCTTCTCTTTTCAGAGAGCAGAATATTTTTAAAAGTTTAATTTAAAAAAAATCCTTCAACAGTTGCAATGCATGAGTATGTCCTTAGTAGCCAGTAGGAAGACCATTCTTTTGCTTCAGAGAAAAGCAGTATTCCATTTAGTTAATTATACAAAGCCATATAATATTAGGGCTGTTGGGCACACATGTATTCAAAGCTAGTTAGGTAGCTTCTAAAATGTTACTAAGCCAGACTGCTTATATGGTCATGTAAAATGTTGTCTCCTTGCAGGCATACAAACAGAAAGCTTCAGCACGCAACCTCTTCTTGACTAACAGCAGGAAGGTAAGAGGGGTTCAGCCTTATAGTGTTTGCTTATTATACATTGTGTAAGAAACATACTTTCTATGTTGCTTTCATCTCAGTGCAGTAGACCTTTACTGATAAGGTAGCATTTATGGAAATACATAAGTTTTTGTCATTATAAATTTTCTTTCACTCTAGGTCTTTAATTTGTCCCTGTGTAAGTAGCTATGTGACTAGTAACTGGTGGTAGTCTCAAATCCAGCTCCTAGGGCCTTTTTTGAAGCTAGCAAAAGTAAATGGGTATCCCCTAATTCAGGAGTGTCAAACCCATTTGGCTGGAGTGCAGGGCTGATCTGTGGGCTGGATCAGGCCTGCAGGCCAGCCCCATGTGCTGGATTCAGCCCCCAGCACTGATCTGGCATGGGTGCCACATGCAGTGTATGCCCTGACCTTGATTATGTGTGCTGCTTGCACCATGTGCGTGGGGTGTGACTTCGCATGGGGCCAGTTTGGTACATGTGCTATGCATGGCACCTGTGCTGGACTGGCCCTTTGTCCTGGATCTGGCATGCAGGGCTGGTCTGATTTGGACCAACTCCAAACTAATGTATAAGGCTGGTTTAGTGCAGGCACCACATGTAGCATGCACTCCATACCAGCCCTGGGTCCTGCATATAGCCCATGCCAACTCTAGCTTTGTGGGGCATGTGGCACATGAAGCTGGACTCAGGCATGTCCTGCATATGGCACCTGCACCGTACCAGCCATGCTCACCAAGATCCAGCATCGGTTTGTGGGCCTGATCTGGACCAGCCCAGGATCCAGCTTGCAGGGCCGGTCAGGTATGGGCACTGCATGCAGCACATACTCCAGACTGGCCCCAGGCTGTGTGCAGCCTGTGCTAAATGGGCTCAACGCACAGGGCCAAGGCCAGCACATGCGGCGTGTGGGGCCAGTCAATGATCCGTAAGCAACTCTACGAGCCAGATGATATGGCTCCATGTGTTGGGTCTGGCCCATGGACTGTATCTTTTGCACCCCTGCTCTAACCCCTGAATTGAGTAAGATTTTGTGAGCAGGTTGTCCAGGTCACCAAAAATTATTAGTCTTTTTGCGAGAGGCAAGGATTTTTCAGGGTGGTTTCTTTTATTGGACCAGCTGCACAGTTGGAATAAAGTTAGACAAGCTTTCGAATGCCAGACATTCTTCATCAGGTCACTTGGGCTGGTATGTGTGCTGCTTGCAGTGCATGCTCTGGCTCCTTCCCTGCATACCACATGCACGTGAAGCTGGTTCAGTGTGTGCCATGTATGGTACCCATGCTGAACTGGCTTTGTTCACTGGATCCAGCATGCAGGGCTGGTCTTCAGACCCTATTTGGACCAGCCCTGGATCCAGCATTACCTCACGAAGAATGATGCATTCAGAAGCTTGTCTAATTTTATTCCAACCATGCAGCTGGTCCAATAAAAGTTATTGCCCACAAAAATCCTTGCCTTGCATAATTCCTGAACCATCATGGCTACAACATTGCTCTAACACTACCATAGCATTCTTTTTGGCTGTCTCAGAAAAGCAGTTTCAAGTTAGACACCAAGAATAAAAATGGTATTGTCTCCAAATAGAGTTTGGGAGGACAGTAGGAGGAAAGCTGGTATAGCCACTGTCAGTTTTGTAACCTTTAAGAAACTCTGCATTCTTCTGGTCTGTCAGTGTGCCATGTTTAATGAGCAATAGATGCACCCTAGAAAACAAAATCATGCATTTCTTTTGCAAGATCTGGCTGTTAGAAAATGTTGCCTTTTGTCAGTGGTTATTTTAAACCTGTTTTTTTCTTCTGTTTCTCAACTCTGTAATGCCATGTCAGTTGGCCCATCAGTGCATGAGAGAGGTGCGTCGAGCTGCCATACAAGCCCAGAAGAACTGTAAGGAAACTCTACCGCGGGCACGTCGCCTCACCAAGGAAATGCTGCTTTACTGGAAGAAGTATGAGAAAGTAGAAAAAGAACACCGCAAACGGGCTGAGAAAGAAGCTCTGGAGCAGCGCAAGCTGGATGAAGAGATGAGAGAGGTAGGATCCAAACTACAGGCAGCTGATAGGTAATCAGGTAGGAGTCAGGACTGAACTGAAGAGATGTAGGAATGACTCCAAAAGTTCAAAGCAAGTGTTTTTTGGTTTTGTTTTTTATATATTTTATTGGACCAGCTGTGTAGCTGAGATGTTAGACAAACTGTTGGACACAAAGGGCACCTACACACATGCCTAATGACTGCTCCGACTCATGCTAATTAGATGTTAATTGAGTCTTTTGGATCATACTGCTTAGCATGCTTCAGCAGCCTCAGTGTCTTGTGTATTCAGCGTCTCTATGCTTCAAAATAGTAGCAGGAGCTCTTTAACTAAAGCTCTTTGAGCAAGCTTTAGTTAAAGCACCCCCACCACCATTTTGAAGCATCGGATGCTGAGTTCACAAGATGCTGCAGGCACTTTAATTAAAGCAGCTCTTGGCAGCTGCTTCAATTAAAGCGCAGCCCCCTCACCACAGAGCACATGTAAAGACACCCGAAGTGCCCTTCTTCAGGTCATTCTTTGTGCCCAAAACCATGTCCAGTATCTCTCCCAACTGTGCAGTTGGTGCAGTAAAAGATCTCACAAAAGACCCTTGCCTCTTGGGGCGTTTATACACGTATCTTTGTCTGCTCCAACATGTTGGAGCCGACTCGATTAATCGTCACTGTCAATTAATTGACTCTGCGGAGCATGCAAGCTGATGCTCCTGGTGCTGAATTGCATATATTTGTATAAAAAGCAAAATGCGCATCAGCACACAGAAAATGGTGGCAGTGTGCTTTTGAACTAAAACACCTTTGTGTTTTAGTTCAAATGTGCACTGCCACCATTTTCTCAGCACTGACACGCATTTCACCATTTATACAGATGCATGCACTGCAGTGCTGGGCACTTTTAAAAAGTGCCTGGTGCTGTGGCGCACACATGTGCAAATGCCCTTACATTTTTTGGGCCATCACAGTTACAGCAACACTCCAACCCTACCTTAAGTTTGAATTTTTTTAAATTGACCAAACTTTCATTTTCTTTTCAGCAGTTTTCAAGAGATTTTCCTTGTGCTTTACTGTGTTATGATTTGCTAGAATCTTCTTATGAGTGGCTAGCTATAACCAGAATCTTTGAACTGCAGGGATTATAGGTTACAGATGATAATATTTAAAGTGTGTGTGACAAGTGCAGATAGTGTGCCTGGTTTGCACATTGCTCAATGTTGCATATTTCTAGTGTACAGTCTTTTGTGATAGTCTGTACTTTTGACCCCTCATCAAGTTCAGAAATGAAGCTGTGTCTAAATCAAGATTTTTGCATAAATTGACTTTAAAATGTATATAATTGACAATATCTCTGTGATCCATTTATGTTGATCATAATGCAGAATCTACAAAGCACTCAAATCATTCTCTCGGAACTCAGTGCCAGCTCTGGGTTGGATTCAGGCAAAGCTAGTTATCTCTCAGGAGGTTTTTTAGGACTTTGTATTCTTCACCTCTACAGGTAATAAGGAAACTTGCAGCATGGAGGTTCAGTGGCCTACCTAGGGCCACAAAATCATTACCAGCTGGGATTAGGACTTCGGAACACCTTGTTTCAGTATTGTGCTCATATCATTAGTCACTTCTGTATCTATTATGTATTCCTCACTCATGCCTCTTAAGCATTTTACGAAAACTTTCTTCTGGTTCAGATTAATGCACAGAATTTCCATAGCACCCTTTCACCTGGATCTAAAAAAAATGGAATTTATACAACAAAATCATATTGAACACTGGCTGTTGCATCTCATTCTTAACTTGTCATCCTGATGCTGTTTTACTTAAAGATGGATTTTGTGTGTTATCACTATCATTATTCACTCTGCCAGAAAAGAGAATAATGAGGGTTCATGTATACTGCTAACTTAACATGCCGGGCAGTGCCATGCTGAAAAGCACAGCATTGCTCTGCATGCAGTGCCTCCAAACCAGAAATAGTTTAGCCATGTTTGCACAGCAGTGTATCTGAGACCGTCAGCTCAGCCTTTCAACAGGGTATATTTGTTCACCTATAGCATCACAGTAAAGTAAATTAGCAACCATTAATTGTGTTGCCATACCTTTAATATAGGTATTTGGGCTTGCATTTTTGTGTTTTACTTTTTTTTTTTAATATTAAACCTTATCTCTCTCTCTTGTTCCTGTGAATTCTCTTTTCAGGCTAAGAGGCAGCAGCGAAAACTTAACTTCCTGATCACACAGACTGAACTATATGCACATTTCATGAGTCGCAAACGAGATATTGGACACGATGGCATACAGGAGGAAATTCTGCGCAAGTTGGAAGATAGCTCAACCCAAAGGCAGATTGATATTGGCGGTGGAGTAGTGGTCAACATCACCCAAGAAGATTATGGTAATACTAGT